AGCGAGAGTCTCTGAGAAGCTGTGGCTGTTGCTCCTTGGACCACGGAGGGGACATGGCCAAGCTCCAGTCGAAGGTGAACCTCACCTCGCACCCCATCTGCCTGAAGCGTGGGCCCTCGGTGTATGAGGATGAGAACGATCGCACATGGTTGCACCACATTATGGACACAGAAGGTGTCCTGCAAGTACGGTTGCGCCAGGAAGACATCCCCAGTGGGGATATCGCACTCACCACCAGCCCGCTGACCTTGATCACCATGCCTTTTATGTGGACGCTCTACACTGGCAGCCAGTACGTGGATGCCATGTGCCGGTTCTGGCGCATCGTGCACCACATCAAGGAGAATGGCGTGGAGGAAATGATCCTTGAGCTGATGGAGGACTCGTAGGACACGTGCTAGGGTCCCTGGCTCTTGTCAACCTGAGCCCCAGTCCTGCCTGCCTGTTGGTCGGACGTGTACAGTTCTGTTCACCATTTTACTAAGCTTCGTTGTTCTATCTGCCACCCCCTGGGTGCGAGGGCACATTGATGTCTCTCTCTCTCTCTCTCTCTCTCTCTCTCTCTCTCTCTCTCTCTTTCTCTCTCTCTCTCTTCTTGGTCTTGTTGTTGTTGTTGTTGTTCTTCTTCTTCTTCTTCTTCTTCTTCTTCTTCTTCTTCTTCTTCTTCTCCTCCTCCTCCTCCTCCTCCTCCTCCTCCTCCTCCTCCTCCTTTCTCTCTCTCTCCCTGTCTCTTTGTCTCCCTGTATCTCTCTGTTTCTCTCCCTCTCTCTCAAATCAATAAAAGCATTTTGAGCCAAACTGATGTTTCTCAGTGGTTCAGGGACCACCTATGAACCCGGAGGTCACTCTTCTATTCCTGGTCAAGGCACAGACAAGAATTGACCAATGAGCCCTAGCATGTTAGGCTCAGTGGATAGAGGGTTGGACTGTGGACTCTGGAAGGTCCCAGGTTCGATTCTGGTCAAGGGCACATGCTCTGGTTGTGGGCTCTATCCCCAGTAGGGTTGTGCAGGAGGCACCTGATGTATGATTCTCTCTCATCATTGATGTTTCTCGCTCCCTTCCTGTATGAAATCAATCCTGTATAATAAAAGCCTAATATGCTAAGTGTCAAGTCCACCGGTCATCTGTTCAACCAAGCAAAGCATGATTTGCAAATGATAAACTAAGGTTGCTCAAGTGCTCACTATGACAGACTTTGACCACCAGGGACAAGACATTCAGATTGGTAGGGCAGCTTGCTGCTGGGGTCTCGCTGATGGGGACTGAGTGAGACGGGGTGGACACACCCTGTAGCCCTCCTACGGTCCTGACCCAGCTGGACAACCTCCCACATCCCACCCGGGCCCCAATCGTGCACCACTCGGTGGATCCCTTGGCCTGGCCTGTGCCCTCTCGTAATCTGGGACCCCTCGGGTGATGTCAGAGAGCCAGTTTCGGCTGATCCCCGCAGGCCAGGCCGAGGGACCACACTTGTGCTAGAATTCGTGCAACAGGCCTCTAGTAAAAATATATTAAAAAGAGTACGACCAAGAAAAAGACTTTAAGGCTGAAAATATTAGCCCTTCCCCGGTAGACAAGGCTCAAAGACATCACTGGAAATAGTTTTCATTTCAATGTCCAGGGTTCTCATTGTTTGATCTCCTGAGGTTCGTCAACCAATACTACCCTCTCCAAAAAAAGAACGAATGTTTGGGGGATTATGGGTGTTTTATGCTGATCATCTCTTTCCTTTGAGGTATTACGAGGGATGCCAGGGCTCATCTCCTGAATGCTCGAACCGGCTCTGTGTATGGCTTTAGCATCTAGCTCTGTGTGCATTTGGGTTTTTAATTGTGTTTAGCACTAAACAGCCCCAAACAAAGCCCAGCGATCATAAAATTCATCTAGCATCGCACCAGAGATGGGCGCTGGAGGGGGAGCCAGGGAGAGCCCCAGAAATCAATTTCAGGTCATCCATGGTTGCATTAAAGAGATCACTGACTGCTGATTAAATTCTCCTCTTGCAGGAAAGTGTTTGCAAATGCAAATTGAGACCTTTAAGGCTGAGGACTGGGGAGCGTGAGGGATGTGTTTCTAAGGTGTGTTTCTCATATTCAAAATATTGCACTTCTAGCCCGGCCAGCGTGGTCAATCGTTGAGCGTCAACCTATCAAGAAGGAGGTCATGGTTCAATTCCCAGTCAAGGGCACATTCCTGGTTTGCAGGCTCGATCCCCAGTAGGGGGAGTGTGGGAGGCGGCCGAACCTTGATTCTCTCTCATCACGGATGTTTCTCTCCTGCTCGCTTTTCATTCTGCTCTGAGTCAATAAAACATTTAAAAAAACATTAAGCAAGAGTTGCATTCAGGTTAAATGCACATTGTATTAAAATAGTTTATTATTTTTTTTTGGTTTTAAACACCAGGTGTGTAGTCATTTAAAGACGACCTAGCCCACAAGCTGGTTTCGATCAGTGGATAGAGTGTTGGCCTTTTTATTCAAGTATATTTTTATTGATTCAAAGAGTAAGGGAGAGGGAGAGAGTTAGAAACATCCGTGATGAGACAATCATGGATCGGCCAACTCCTGCAAGTCCCTCCCTGGGGATCAAGCCCACAAACCTGGCATGTGCCCTTGACCGGGAATCAAACACTGGACCCTTCAGTTCGAAGGCTGACACTCTATCCACTGAGTCAAACCGCCTAGTGCATATTTGATTTTTCAAAGGGTGAAAACGCCTTGAAGAAAAACGAAGTATCTCAGCATTCATGTAACAGTAATTACATGAATTCATGTAGTTCATGGGAATTACAACTCACCTCCCCATTCTTTCCACATTGTTTCTGTAAATGCAGACTCTGACTAATAATGAAGCTTGTACATAAACAGCCTGTTTGTATAAAAATCCTAGGAACTAATTTTAGAAGATATGAACTCTGACCTTCCAAGTTCTGGGAGATTTGCTGACCTTCAGCCTTAGAACCAGGACAAAGTCTAGGATGACGCACACTGGACTGTCAGCTGACCACTTGCAAGATCCTTATTACATTGGTCTGTGCCTGTGGGCACGTAGAGAACTTCTCAAGCCCCGCCCCCTGACCTCTTTGCTCTGTTTGGCCTCTCCCTCCTTATAAAAGCCTCTGCCTGCACTGAGATGTGCAGATGGGTTTTGGGACGTGCTTTCCCCATCTTCTCAGGTTGCCGGCACCTGAATAAACCTCGTTCCTTCCTCACCACCACCTGTCTCACAGGACTGGTTTCTGGGGTGTGAGTCAGGGTTACCTTGTTTTTTCTGGACACATTTCTGGTACATGGACTCCTGGAAATATGTGTATCATGGCCATTTTCTTCTTCTGCAGGTGACAGGGGGAAGCAGAGACCGGTCACAGAGGAAAGGAGCGAAGAACGGTGCTTTGCCTTCAGAGCAAGAAGAACAGGTAAGAAAAAGGTGGATGGGAGGAGAAGGAGGAAGGATTGGGGATGGAGTCTGATCTGAGGGAGGAATTTGGACTTTGTGGACTGAAGTGAGTTTAGCAGCAAAACCATACAGCTCTTGCCAAGAGCATGGCTGAGGTTTGGGGAAGGGAGAGATCATTCTATAAGTGATGTCATGAGATCTCAGGAATCTTACGTGCTCTATCATCTGTCACTTTGTTTCCTGTTTTCCTGATCAGCTATCCCAGGTGTCTGTCTCTCCCTGAATATTTTGGTCTTGCCTCTCTCACCAGCACCTGAGTAGCAAAACTGTTGTTAAGAAGCCCACCAGGACGCAGATGTTAGCTTTGTTCCTCTGCCAGCTGGTAAAGGTAAAGCATATTATTTGCATGTTATTTCCATGGGGTGGCTTGTTCTATGGTATGTGAGTTCCCTCTGAGATGATCAGGAATAAGGTGGTGTCAGGATAAAAAGAAAAGTAGAACCAACTACAAAGTTTTAATTAAGAAAAAAAAAAGAAGAAAAGAAAAAAAAAAGAAAAGAAAAGAAGAGAAAAGAGCCCGGCTGGCATGGCTCAGTTGTTTAGCTTAAACCGAGGAACCGGGAGATCACCGTTCGATTCCCTGTCAGGGCCCATGCCCAGGTTACAGTCTTGATCCCCAGTAGGGGGTGTGCAGGAGGCAACCAATCCGTGATTCTCTGTCATCATTGATCTTCTTGTCTCTTTCTCTCCCTCTCCTTTCCTCTCTGAAATCAGTAAAACTATATGAAAAGAATGGAAGAATAGTCATGGCACAGTAAAGTAGAGCATTGAGTCAATGCAATCCTATATAATAAAAGGCTAATAAGCAAAGTGAAAGTCGGCAGCATGACTGGTCGTTATGATACACACTGACCACTGGGGGCAGATACTCATGGCAGGAGCTGCTCCACTGGTGGTCAGTGCACTCCCACAGGGGGAGCACCGCTCAGCCAAAAGCCAGGCTCACAGTTGCCGAGCACAGGGGTTGGTGGGAGCCTCCACAGCAGCACTAAAGAGGCCCTAAGCTGTCAGTTGGACAGCCCTCAAGGGGTCCCAGACTGCGAGTTGCCGCAGACCTGACTGAGGGACCCCCCACAAGTGCATGAATTTTGTGCACTGAGCCTCTAGTAATATTATAACTGTGTATGGTGTCAGATGGGTATGAGATTAATTGCATGATTTCTTAGTCCATTATATAATGTCTAATCATTGGGATGTACCCCTGAAATGAACCTAAGGTTGTATGTCAACTGTCATTTAAAAAATGTTTTAAAAATTCTATAGGACCATGTTACCTTCACAGAGTCATATTTTACATTAAGTACGTTTTGTACAGTTTGTTCTAGGAGAGAGATCTAAAGCTAAAAAGAAAGAAAAGTTGAGATTTATAAATTTGCAAAATAAACCAAAGGCAACCACAAACACAACCGTAAAAACCATAAAGATAAAAGCCGAGGTAAAATGCGTTTGGAGACCCCATCCCCTGTCTTTCGATACCAGGACCGAAGTAGCGAGAGGCTCTGAGAAGCTGTGGCTGTTGCTCCTTGGACCACGGAGGGGTCATGGCCGAGCTCCCGTCGAAGGTGCACCTCACCTCGCACCCCATCTGCCTGAGTATCCGTGGGCCCTCGGTGTATGAGGACGAGAACCAGCGCACATGGGTGCATCTCGTCATGGACACAGGAGGTGTCCTGCAAGTATGGTTGTGCCAGGTAAACATCCACAGTGGGGATATCCCACTCACCACCAGTCCGCTGACCTCAAGCACCATGCCATCGATGTGGACGCTCCACCTTGGGAGCCAGTACCTGGATTCCATGGGCCGGTTCTGGCGCATCGTGTTCCACGTCAAGGAGGATGACACGGAGGAAATGATCCTTGAGCTGATGGACAACTCGTAGGACATGTGATGGGGTCCCTGGCTCTTGTCAACCTGAGCCCCAGTCCTGCTGGCCTGCCAGTGGGCGTGTATCATTCTGTTCACCTATTTAGTAAACTCTGTTGTTTTATCTGCCACCCCCTGGGTGCGAGGGCATGTTGATGTCTCTCTCTCTCTTTCTCTCTGTCTCTCTTTCTCTCTCTGTCTCACTCTGTCTCTCTCAAATCAATAAAAGCAATTTGAGCCAATCTGGTGTTTCTCAGTGGTTGAGGGACAACCTATGAACCTGGAGGTCACAATTTGATTCCTGGTCAGGGCACAGACAAGAATTGACCAATCATCCCTAGCTTGTTCTGCTCAGTGGATAGAGAGTTGGACTGTGGACTCTGGAAGGCCCAGGTTCGATTCTGGTCAAGGGCACATGCTCTGGTTGTGGGCTTGATCCCCAGTAGAGGGCGTGCAGGGGGCACCTGACCTATGATTCTCTCTCATCATTGATGTTTCCCGCTCCCCTCCTGCATGAAAATATTCCTATATAATAAAAGCCTAATATGCTATGTGTCCAATCGACTGGTCATCTGTTCAACCAATTAAAGCATAATATGCAAATGATATACTAAGTTGATCAACTGCTCACTATGACATGCATTGACCACCAGGGACAAGACATTCAGACTGGTAGGTCAGCTTGCAGCTGGGGTCTGGCTTGTCAGAACTGAGTGAGACATGCTGGACAAACCCTGGAGCCATCCCATGGTCCCTCCCCAGCTGGCCAACCTGCCGTTTCCCTCCACAAACCAAATGGGGCACCGGTGGGGTCCCTTGGCCTGGCCTGTGCCCTCTCATAATCTGGAACCCTCGGGAGATGTCAGAGAGCCAGTTTCGGCCGATCCCCTCAGGCCAGGCAGAGGCACCACATTGGTGCATGAATTCTTGCACCGGGCCTATAGTGAAAATATATTAAACAGAGAAAGACAAGAAAAAGACCTTAAGCCTGAAATTATTATCCCAGCTCCTGTTGACAAGGCTCGAAGACATCACTGGAAATAATTTTCATTTCAATGACCAGCGTTCTCATTGTTTGATCTCCTGAGGTTCATCAACCTATACTACCCTCTCCAAAAAAAGAACGAATGTTTGGGGATTACTGGTGTTTTATGCTGATCATCTCTTTCATTTGAGGAATGATGAGGGATGCCAGGGCTCATCTCCTGAAGGCTCGAGCCAGCTCTGTGTATGGCTTTAGTGTCTAGCTCTGGATGCATTTGGGTTTTTAGTTGTGTTTAGCCCTAAACATCCCCAAACAAAGCCCAGCGATCATAAAATTCATCCAGCATCACACCAGAGTGAGGCGGCTGGAGTGGGAGCTGGAGGGAGCCCCAGAAATCAATTTCAGGGCATCCATGGTTGCATTAAAGAGATCAGGGACTGCTGATTAAATTCTCCTCTTGCAGGAAGGTGTTTGCAAATGCAAATTGAGCCCGTTAAGGCTGAGGACCGGGTTACGTGAAGGACGTGTATACAAGTTACTTTTCTCATATTCAAAATATTGCACTTCCGGCCCAGCCGGCGTGGCTCAGTGGTTGAGCATGGACCTATCAACCAGGACGTCATGGTTTGATTCCCGGTCAAGGGCACATGCCCAAGTTGCGGGCTCGATCTGAGTAGGGGGCGTGCGGGAGGCGGCTGATCCTTCTTTCTCTCTCATTATGGATGTTTCTCTCTTTCCATCCCTCTCCCTTCCATTCTGAGTCAATAAAATCATTTAAAAAAATATTCACAATTCAGATTACATGCACATTGCTTTAAAATAGTTCATTATTTTTTTTGGTTTAACATTCTAGGGCGGTAGTCATTTAAAGATGACATAGGGCCTGAGCTGGTTTGGCTCAGTGGATAGAGCGTCGGCCTGTGGACAGAAGGGTCCCAGCTTCGATTCCAGTCAAGGGCACATGCCTTGGTTGTGGGCTCAATACCCAAAGGGGGTGGCGTGCAAGAGGTAGCCAGTCCATGATTCTCTCTCATCATCACTGATGTTTCTATCTCCCTCTCCCTTCCTCTCTAAAATAAATAATAAAAAATATGTATTTTTTATAAAAGAGCCCACACATTGAGATCTGTCATGTGTCGCAATGCAGACACTCAGTCTCATGACCCCTTTGGCTCGATTCCTTCGAGAGCAGTATGAGGGTGACATTTGAATTATGTTTTTTTTCTCCCTTATTTTATTTTATTTTATTTTATTTTATTTTATTGTTTTATTTTTTCTCCTAAATGCCAACAGGCAGATGTCTGACATTTCCTTAGAACCCCATTCATCTTTCCTTCCTAATTGGGAAGAGTTTGCCTCAGTCCAGGTCATTGAGCTGGAAGTTGTTTATTATTTTATTTTATTTTTTCAGCAAAGAATGGAGAGGGAGAGAGTTAGAAACATCCATGATGAGAGAATCATGGATCAGCTGCCTCCTGCACATCCCTCACTGGGGATCAAGCCCACAGCCTGGGGATGTGACCTTGAAGGGGAATCAAAACCGGGACACTTCAGTTCAAAGGCTGACACTCTATCCACTGAGTCAAACCGGCCAGGGACAATTTGATTTTTTCAAAGGGTGGAAACGCCTTGAAGAAAACAAAGCAACTCAGAATTCATGTCACATTAATTACATGAATTCATGTAATTCATGGGAATTACAACTCACCTCATGATTCTTTCCACATTGTTCCTGTTAATGCAGACTCTGACTAATAATGAAGCTTGTAGATAAACAACATGTTTGTATAAGAATCCTAGGAACTAATTTTAGTAGATATAAACTCTGACCTTCCCAGTTCTGGGAGATTTGATGACCTTCAACCTTAGAACCAGGAGGACAAAGGCTAGGATGACGCACACTGGACCGTCACCTGACCACTTGCAAGATCCTTATCAGATTGGACTGTGCCTGTGGGCACATAGAGAACTTCTCAAGCCCCGCCCCCTGACCTCTTTGCTCTGTTTGGCCTCTCCCTCCTTATAAAAGCCTCTGCCTGCACTGAGATGTGCAGATGAGTTTTGGGACGAGCTTCCCCCATCTTCTCAGGTTGCCGGCACCTGAATAAACCTCTTTCCTTCCTGATGACCACCTGTCTCACGGGACTGGTTTCTGGGGTGTGAGTCAGGGGAACCTTGTTTTTTCTGGACACATTCCTGGTACATGGACTCCCTGGAACAGGTGTATCATGGCCATGTTCTTTCTTCTGCAGGTGACAGGGGGAAGCAGAGACTGGTCACAGAGGAAAAGAGGGAAGAACAGTGCTTTGCCTTCAGAGCAAGAAGAACAGGTAAGAAAAAGATGGATGGGAGGAGGAGGAGGAGGAACTGGAAGGATTGGGGATGGAGTCTGATCTGAGGGAGGAATTTGGACTTTGTGGACTGAAGTGAGTTTAGCAGCAAAACCATACAGCTCTTGCCAAGAGCATGGCTGAGGTTTGGGGAAGGGAGAGATCATTCTATAAGTGATGTTATGAGACCTCAGGAATCCTACTTGCTGTTTCACCTGTCTCTTTGCTTCCTGTTTGCCCGATCAGCTATCCCAGGTGTCTGTCTCTCCCTGAATATTTTGGTCTTGCCTCTCTCACCAGCACTTGAGAAGCAAGACCGCTGTTAAGAAGCCCACCTGGATGCTGATGTTAGCTTTGTTCCTCTGCCAGCTGTTAAAGGTAAAGCATATTATTTGCATGGGGTGGGTTGTTCTATGGTTTGTGAGTTCCCTCTGAGATGATCAGAAAGAAGGTGGTGTTGTCAGGACAAAAAGAAAAGTTTATCAAACATCAAAGTTTTAATTAAGAAAAAAAGTACAAAAAAGAAAAGAATGAAAAGAAATGAAATGAAAAGAGCCGGGCTGGCACGGCTCAGCTGTTTATCTCAAACCTAGGAACCAGGACATGTCGATTGATTCCAAGTCATGGCAGATGCCCGGGTTACAGTCTTGATCCCCAGCAGGAGGAAACCAATCGATGATTCTCTGTCATCATTGATCTTTTTTTCTCTTTCTCTCCCTCTCCCTTCCTCTCTGAAATCAGTAGAACTATATGAAAAAACGAAAGAATAATCATGGCACAGTAAAGTTGAGCATTGAGTCCATGCAATCCTACATAATGAAAGGCTAATATGCAAATCGACCAAATGGCAGAACAAGTGGTAGCTATGACACACACTGACCACCAGGTTCAGATGCTCATGTCAGGAGCTCTCCACTGGTGGTCAGTGCACTCCCACAGGGTGAGTACTGCTCAGCCAAAAGCAGGCTCACAACTGCCGAGCACAGGGGGTGGTGGGAGCCTCCACGGCAGCATTAAAGCGGGCCTAAGCCGTCAGTTGGACATCCCTCAAGGGGTCCTGGACTCTGAGAGGCTGCAGGGCTGACTGAGGGACCCCCCGAAGTGCATGAATTTTGTGCACTGAGCCATTAGTAATATTATATAACTGTGTATGGTGTTAGATGGGTATGAGATTAATTGCATGATTTCTTAGCCCATTATATAATGTCTAATCATTGGGGTTTACCACTGAAATGAACCTAATGTGCTATGTCAACTGTCATTTAAAAAATATTTTTAAAATTCCATAGGATCATGTTACCTTCATAGAGTCATATTTTACATTAAGTACGTTCAGTACAGTTTGTTCGAGAAGAGAGATCTAAACCTAAAAAAGAAAGAAATGTTGAGATTTATAAATTTGAACCAAAGGCAACCACAAACACAACGTTAAAAACCATAAAGATAAAAGCCGATGTAAAATGCGTTTGGAGACCCCATGCCCTGTCTTTCGATACCAGGACCAAAGTAGCGAGAGGCTCTGAGAAGCTGTGGCTGTTGCTTCTTAGACCACGGAGGGGTCATGGCCGAGTTCCCGACTACGGTGCATCTCACCTCACACCCCATCTACCTGGATATTTGTGGGCCCTCGCTGTATGAGGATGACAAGCATCGCACATGGCTGCATCTTGTCATGGAGTCAGGAGGTGACCTGCAAGTACA